AGTTCAGCCGTAGATAGCACTCACTACATGCAGTTACACACAACCATACCATAGGATGGATGGGATAGGATGACAGAGTTGAAATCTAATGTCACAGGGTGGAGGGAGAGATTGATAACAGAAGCTTTGTTTATTGAATCAACTGCAAAAACGTGTAATAGGAATGATTCAACACCTCTCCCAGATATCTGGAAAATTCTACTACCCTTACGACGACAAATAGGAGAGAACAAAGAAAACTATAAAACTGAAGTTTCGAAGTCATGTGATTATAATTGGCGATATGATTATGAACCACAGTAAATTTTGTTCGAAACCTCGTCATCCAGTTTATAATTCTGCTTCACTCACTGTGTGATACATCTAATAAACAAACTAATATGGAATTAATGGTAAATACAAGACATCCATTCAACGGAAGGCTGAGTGGAATCACTTATGTTTGCTTCTCAACAGCTGTGAGAAAAGTAACATAAACGCTGGTAGAGAACACCTTCCTATCATACACAAAATGTCTACTCTAAAGATAGGCTTCCAATAAGAACACAAATGTGCATTTGTGGTAATGGATAGGTACAGAAATTCTCCGGTAAGTATAAGAATATATATATATATATATATATATATATATATATATATATATATATATATGTATATATATATATATCATGAATACCCGTTACGATATAGCTGAAAAGTGTACAAGAGCATCCAGGGTTTTGAGGTGTGTGTTTAGTGTTTTTAACGTTTGTCTGTGTTGGTTACACTCTGTTAGTCCCTCCGAAACACCCTTTTTCTTATTAAGTTTCATATACTGTAATAGTAAGTCATGACTTTTAATTTTATTTAAAACCTTCCACGTCTGCGTGTTATTGCTTATTACATCCCATCTCCACCTCTTATTATTTATTCCTGCTTTTCCTCTTCAAAATATCTGTACATGCCTATATTACAATTCATGTCAATGTAGGGACCATAAACAGGGTCAGTCACGCTCACACCTACTTCTTTTATCATGTGGTGGGTAACCCCTTCACTTATATCTCTTTCCTAGTTCACTCTCAAGGGTGAAATATAGGCCATTACAACTAAAACATTTTATTTAATTATCTCATACAAAGGTGCAATTTCATGAGGTCATATCAAAATTATTCATGAACAAAATTTATAGACTAACCAGAAAGTTTATATATATATATATGTTTACATCGGCGGTTACCTATAGAAAGTGGAACAGTGGGATAAATACTTTTTTTTTTCTGGGCAGGTTTTAATGCAAATAAGTCAAGGTCAGAATAAAATGGTGCTTGAAAGTTAACCGAAACCATAAAAGGAATGTTATAAAAGCATGGCGCGCAGAATTCAAACACTCAGTGATATCAATGTACTGATGTAACTTTCATTAAATTTGAACAAAGCAAGAACAACAGTTTTAGCAGAATAAAGTGGTACTATCTTTTGTTTCATTGCCTTCTCGTCAGCTGCTTACAGGGCAAAGACATTAATAAATATATCTACAAAAACAATTTTAACATACTTGCACAGCGTTCATTTTAAACAAAAATCACTCGATCAATATTTGCATACAGTAATAATAATATATGTATGTAATAATAAACACTATTCCGAACAATAATAATCATACACATTGAAACTTTTCAGCATTTCGCATTCAGATGAAAGAGAGATGAAGAATATCCAGTTACCAGGGCAAAGAAAGACTGAAAACCGCTTCTTTCTGGACGTACAAATCAGGTTTCAGGTACTTGATGGAAATGGCTTCAGCAAACTTGAAGAGACATAAGCTTTTCGGTACATGTTGAGAAAATCGTAGATATGCCCTTCTTTCTGTCCTTCCAATGTGACTGCTCCCGCAGATACGTGTAAATTTGTATAAACAGTTAGAGTTAACATGAGAAAGATATCTATCGATTTTTGATTGCACCACAGGAGAGTAATTTGTTCGATAGACGAGGACGAGCTTAGCTGCAGGATAGGCTTTATCTAGTGATGTACTCAGCCTTCTGTTGGTCATTGCTGCAATGTTTTCAGCTTTATAATCAAGCTGAAAAAGGATTGGCTTTTTACCCACTGTGATTTGTTTTACATTTGTGACTTTAGATCTTCCATACTTGTTGGTGAACCTTTGAAGGTAACCATTCCTCTTCAACATCTCTTCAAGAAACTCAAATTCTTCCTCTAATTTCTCTAAAGAGCATATTCTCCTCGCTCTATAGTACAGAGTCTTGACTAGTCCGAGTTAAAAGCTATCTGGACAAAAGCTATTAAAATGCAAATATTGTCCTTTCCGAGTAGGCGTTCGATAAATTGACTTCTGAAGACTGCCGTCTTCTAGTCGATGCACGGCAATGTCGAGGGAGTGAAGCTTTCCGCCACTTTCATGTTCCATAGTAAACTCAATATTGGTGTGTGCATCATTGAATAATCTGAGTAAGTGTGAAGCATGACTTTCATTGTTGCGCACTATAAATTATTAATTGCTAGATAAAAAATAAATCATAAAAAAGGAAGATAAATACCACAAGCTTTTCAAAAACCGATCCCAAAACAGTGAACCAAATGAAAATCTCAGTGCATCGAGAAGCAGCTCTTTCTCTCATAGTGAAACATAAGTGGAGTGTGCAGCCATGACTCGACAAGAAAAGAAACCATTTAAGTGCTGGGTTACCAGATGACGACCACATTGGCATTCAACCAATGTGTTGTAATTAAAATGGTCCATCCAGCTCACTGGAATTGATTTTCCCCGACTTATTATTAAGACGTCAAGAAGTACACGCTGAAGAGCCTCACCCTAAAAGAAAAACGCTATCAGTAGTTTTCATCGAGGATTCATCTCTAAATTGAAGTTTCTGAGAAAAAATCAAACATATTCTGTCCATTATGAATTTTGAAAATCACACATACTTATGCTCAACATTCTGAATGAATATGCAGTCATGCGTATCTCAGTGTGCACCGTGATGGGGAGCTACCTAGAATGGTGGCCACACTGCAAACCTGACTGATAGAATTCAGTCTGCACCAAAGAAAGAACTAGACCCGTCATACTAGTTACTAGTGTTCAATGAAAATACCCACTACAGTCCTACAGGAGGTCAATCGCGAGCCCGAATAACTCCATGGTACCAGTCTCTGACTACAGCAGTCGATGACGCGGGTTAGGATCTCAGAAGGGACATGAGTTCCTTCAAGGTTGCAGATACACCTTACTGACTGCTGAGTGCCAACTTGTACGAAACCTAGGTCAGACTGGGCTTCCTGTGGTCAATTGCCTCCAACCATTTAATATCATCAAATCAATGTGTGCACGGTGATGGCGAGTTGCCTAGAATGGTGGTCATATTGCAAAACCTGACTGATAGAATTCAGTCTGCAGCAAAGAAAGGACTAGACACGTCACACTAGTTACTAGTGTTCAGTGAGAATTTAAAGAGAAGACGTTCAGTGAAGAGACTCTTTTCACCGGCAAATTCATTCACGTAGCTGTACAATCGCATTCATATATAATTATTTGTGTGTGTGAGTGTGAACATGAGGTACCTCAAGTTTAGATAATTAATCAGGTAATACAAGAATGATCTGAATTAGACAGAAACTAAAGTAAGATTGAGTTAGTAAGTTAGATGACGTGATATAATTGACTAAAATTTTTCAACTTAGGTCAGGGTAACAACAGAGGTAATTACAGGTAGAGACTAAGTAGAAGTGGGGTAGATAATAATGCCATTTAAATTAGAGCTGAAATTGAGCAAATAATTTGGATGACTTAATATAAATGACTAGAAATTAAGTGTTGGTCAAGTCAGTAGCAGTGGTAGTGAGGTGTAGAAATTAAATCGGGTGGGGGTAGAGAACAAGAATGTTGAAAATGTAAAATATTACAATTGAGAAGACAAAATAATACTAATGAAGCGACAGAAAGAAATAGTATTTACCTGTTAAGATAGATTACGTCCATGCAAAGTGTACTGATTGAACGAACTTCTTCTGAATGCTGAGTTCAGGACTTAGCACGTGAATTGTCATTGCCTCTGCATTTTGAAGAAGTCTGATTTTTACACCTTTAGAAAGACTACTTCTTACTCTGTAGACGACTTTGAAGTTTGTTTCGGGTGTAACATGGTGTCCGGATTCTATAAGATGTTCTAAGATGGAGCTGCGGGGACATCGTTTTTCTCCTTTGTAAAACCATGCTGGTAAGTGTTCTGTGATACGTTTGAAAAGCGAATGCTGGGTACGGCCGACATACCTGGCTCCACACGAGCAGGTGAACTGATAAATACACATTGATGAGGCCAGTAGTGGTAGCCAATCCTTCACGTTCACATGAGTCTTAGGTTTTGTGGAGTAGGTTAGTAGTAGTTCAACTGCGAAGAAGGTCTTCTTAAGTGAGCACGACAGACGATTTTTTACTGTTTCCGCAGATATATCTCCATTGAATTGAAGGTTCATGTAGAGTAGTTTCTTTGGGACGCTAAGCACGGGCAGCTTTTGTAGTCTAAGATTCCTAGATTTTGCAATAAATCTTTCTGGATAACAATTCTCGACGATGATTTTCTTGACACTTCATCCTCTATGGTGTCCGGGTTGCAAATTCTGTGAACTCTGTAGCTAAGTGAATGGACCAGGTTTGTGTATAAGGGTATCCAACTAAAGACTTCGTTACATAGCACCAACTGACTGCTTGTTCATTGTAGATGAAATTCCTTTTTCGTTTTGTTTTACTTGTTATCCTTACTACATAACGCTCAACTGAATATAGTAAGTTATATCGTAACTAACATCAAGTAATTAAACGTTATTAGAACAATGTCTATTGTTAAACAACTTTCCCTCTCTTGAAAAGTGTGATAAAACAAAGCATTTTGTATTAAAAGGAAACACAAGATTCACAGCAGTGAACTAATTACAATTACCATCTTTTTAAATTAATAAATAGTTTAATTGTTTTGTATGTGTACTTTTATTAAGATATTCAACTATTTCTTGTGCTTTTGCAATTAATTTAGTTAAACATAATACACTTATTTAATAATAATAATAAAATATATATTTATAATTCTTGGGGTAAAAAGAAAGAAACAAGTACTTTAACAACAATACTATTTGTTGATCACTACATAAAAGTCTGTTATGAAATATAATGTACTTAGTAAAATAAAATGGATTTAAGGTCATTCAACAGACTATAAAAGTCATTCTAGTTTCATTTACTGTAGTCAGCAGAAGTTTGTTTCATTTCATTCCTATCGCTGTATTTCTCGTGCCAACAGCTAAATCATGACACAAGAAGAAAAATGGATTGAAGTCTTTCATAAAATAGACAAAGATAAAAGTGGATCCCTATCACTTGCTGAAATTCAACAATGCTTTAAAGAGGTTAACATTGATCCAAAACTCGCTGAAGTAAGTGATCCTGACAGTATATATATATATATATATATATATATATATATGTATATAAGTCAAGTACATTTTAACCCGGAGGGACTGTTGTATGCGCAATAGTCACTGTATTTATCTATTTACTAGTGTTGACAGAGAACTTTTTCTGTGAAATAATGTATTAAAGTTTTTTTTCTTTCACGTTCACCAGTGGAACATAGGGCTTTAGGCTAGTGGCTTGAAGTTTCGGTAGCAGTGGTGTTTATTTTTACAAGATGGGGTGAGGTTGCTAGCCTCATGCCCAACATTTCCTCTTTACCAGCATTATTTCTGGCTTAGCGAGGTAAAGGAATGCATCGGTGGCCGGTGATTGGCCATGTGCATGGTCAGCGAGGGTCCTAACCGCTATACCACCGGCATAATGTATCAAAGTAGTTAGGAAAGACTTTTCGATTCATAGTAGGGTTAGAAACGATGCATTCATGCTGTATTTAGATGTTTTGAAGACAGTATCATATTGACTTTCTACATTGATAAACGGACCAATGTTGATTAAGATGTCTTAGTAAGTAGGTGATGAAGTTGAAGAATTTCCAGGCAGATGTTTATTTGCTTATAAGTAGTATAGTGAGTTAAATACTGTGTAGCAGATATTCCATGATTATCCGCCACAGTGAGATGTGTACATTTACAGTTAGCTCACTCGTACTTTTACTCCGTTCATTCTATCTTATTATATACTCCGACTGAACACTGTAATCAAATACAGATGTATTTGAAAGATGAAGTCTACCTGAATAACGTATATCTTGACTAAAAGGAGTACATTTCAGACAATCAGAGTGACATTATTTGGACAATTGCTTCGTCCACCTAGTCAGGGACTCTTCAACTGTCCAGAACTCATAGGTTTTTTTTTCCACTGTTTCTCTAACTGACGCCAGCTCATGATGAAATCCTCCATCCAGTTAAACAAAATCCGCACAAAACCAATACTTAAAATAGAGACTGATAATTTAAAACGTCTGATATAAATATTCAGCACAGAAGGAGGTTAACAAGTGGTTATAGTGGTATACAGTTTAAATGTGTTTTGAAGGTGTAGATTCATAAATCAAGTTCCAGTATTCATCGGTATTCCCCTTTTGCTTTAAGAAAAAGCTCAGCTCTAATGCCGTGATAGCCACTTTCCACGATATGAAGAAGACAGCCTCATTATCTGCATTCATGCATACATTTTTTAATTGGGTATACAATATTATTCTAATAATTATGGCTATTTTAAATTCTGTTAAGACTTTGTACAGCTGTGTCGTCCTAGTTCGGGACTATGCAGAAATACGCACCCACCCGAAGGTTCTAGAATCGAACCCTGTCGGTAGGTGCGTAACGATTAAGAGTCACAAACTAGACTGACGAAACAATTGTGCAGTACTCCAGTGCTGGTTTTCCAGTGGTTCTCTAACTGATGTCAGCTCATGATAAAATCCTCCAGCGAATCAAAGAAACAAAATCACTACAAAACTGATATTTTCACATATATTCACAAGTAAATAATTGCAATTAACTATTTACCTTCATAATACATAAGTTCACTTTTGTCTTGTATAGAATTTTATGAAAGAAACTGATACTGATGGGGATCAAAAAGTTTCTATGGATGAATATTTAAAATATTTGAAGAAAGTTGAAAAATGTAATACAGTGTAAGTCAATTGGCTTTTGTTTTACGTTTATATTTACTGAGAAGTTAATGTATTTATTTACTGCAAAAATTCAAGGCAGAATCACCTCTCTGGACCAATGACTTAAAATCGTATAAAAAGCGGTATTAAAACTTGAAGTCAAGCTTTGTGTTACTTTATTTACCAGAGGAAAATTAGGTCGATAAATCATTCTTTTCTTTTTTGGTTACCAGAGCCAAAACAGCTCTGTAGTTCTGAAATCAAAGTCTGCTGGTTTTAAACGCTCTTAATTGTATCCGGCTGATAATCTCAGACATTCACAATTGTATATTTTTTCCCCTTTTAATGAATTTGAACAAAACAAGAACTAAAGTTTTAGCCCTGTAAGCAGCTGACGAGAAGACAGTGAAATAACAGGTGGTACCAGTTTATTCTGCTAAAACTGTAGTTCTTGCTTTATTCAAATTCACAATTGTACTTTTAGTTTTGTAAAAGAGAAAACATTCCAGACAAATTAGGGTAATGAATTAGGCTTTATAAGGCAGGATGCGTGGTTACAAAATGGTCATTATGAGTGGAAAACAGTTAGTAGTCTGCCAACTCTTTGACATACAGAGAGATTTATGGAAATAGGTGTATGTTTTTAATTCAGTTTCAAGTTAGATTGTTTACCATAGATATTGCATAAAATAACCAATTCGTGGCTACTTCGAATGATTCAGCGAAAACAGATGTTTAATTTTTGCGAACCTAGTCATGTCGTCAGACAGCCCTACCACTGTTTAGTATTGTCTAGTTTAAATAATATAATAAAGGTTTTCTTGTGCATTTCCCAATGAATGAATGAAAAGCAAAACGATGTCGTTGTTTTTACTAATGTTTCGCTATTTAATGTTGCTGTTAATAGCTTTATCAAAATAGTCATATTAAACCAGAATTTACAAAATCCACTCAGCTCATATATAACAAACAACTTAATCATCGTTCTTCAGCATGCAGGCATTTTTGCGTTGTTGTCAAATTGGCCATTTGGTAAAGATAACAAAACAAGGTGTAGATGACTGTTGGATTTGATAAGTGTGTAAAATGATAAAAGTAGCGTGGGTTTATATAATGAAATTGTTTATGACATTCGTGTTGATTTTGTCACACTTCATGGGGGAGCAGTGGGGTGTTGTAACCAGGTCAAATTCTGTTTTATTCCATCATTCCTATTTAGACAATTCGGATTCCACTTGATTGAAGTGCTTCTGATGACGTGAGACGTTCTTTGTGATCTTCGAAATCCTTTTTTCTGGATTATTTCAATATTTTTGAAATCAATTTTATGTGGACTGATTCTGTAGCGTGTAGACAAGCTATGACTGATGATTTTTCAAGCTTTCCTAGTTCAACAGGATTTAATTTTCGATGGTCGAACAGATACTCAACGGAAAAATGATCGCACACTGAGGAGCGATGATTTAGTTGTTATACATCAGCTGAGTGGAGTTTGTAAATTCTGGTTTAATATTACTACTCTGGTAAAGATATTAGCAGCGAAACATCAGTAAAAACAACGATATCGTTTTGTTTTCAATTCATTCATTGGAAAGTACAAGAAAAACTTCATTATAATGAATAAATATCATATGCCCAATGTCCGAATTTTTTCACATTGTTAAAAGTGAACTTACTTTGGACATATATATAGCTTGTCTAGCTTACATTAACTTAAATGGACATCTTGACCTAACTGTCTGAGATGGTATTTCCCTTTGGAACTAATTATACTTAATGAATTTCATACTGTCATAAATTAATCGAATTATATGATATTTGTTCTTGAGCATTTCTTTATTCTCTCTTGTTTGTCTGTTTGTATGTTTTTCCCCACAGGGAATAAAACCTGTTTTCTAATTGATTCACTATTTTTCTGTTTGGTTGTTTTCCATTTGTGCATTGCATAGAATTGAAGGCTGGAAGCAGGTATTCCGTCATATAGACAAGGATAATTCGGGAAAAGTTTCCATCAAAGAAATGGAAGAATTTTCTAAAACTAGCGGTGCTAATGAAAATCTAGAAGATTTGAAGAAGTGGATTGCAGAAAATGATAAAGATAAAGACGGTGAGATCAACTGTGAGGAATTCTTAGCATTTGTGCGCGAATCTTATCAATAAGTTAAAGTTAATGCCTGTAACAGAGATAATTGTGACTGAAAAACAGTAGATTAATTTCCTTTTAACTTTCTAAAAATGTATTTTATCACTATTGTTATTTTTGCGAAATAAACAGATAAATTCTATCGTTGTATGACTTTTTGATGTCTTCAAAGAAAATAATAATATGCCAATATGAAATCTGGCTAACAAAAGAAGCTTAAGGTATATCCTAGTCAGTGTACTAACTGATATACACGAACAGAGTAGATTCAATCAGTACTAATTATTCTACTAGGTTTTAACTTATCTGAAAAATATGTTAATGCAGGGGAAAAGTGATCTACCAAAATTGATTAATTATAGTGTCTATGGACCCACATAAAAATCTTAGAAGATCTGAATCTCATCGATGATATGTATCTTATTTCCCACAAAAACTGGAAGATATGCAAGTGAAAAGCAACAAGTTGGCAGAAGAAGCCTCCAGAGAAGATAGGAAGGACTTCAGGTGAACACAGAGAAAACAGAGGTAGGTGATGAAGATTCCTGGCCAACAGCAACAATCAGCATGAATGAGGGGAGGAATCTGAGAGAAGCAACCTCCTTTACCTACCTACCTACCTACCTGCCTACCTACCTGCCTACCTAGCTAACTACCTGCCTACCTACCTACCTACCTACCTACCTGAGAAGCGCAGCTTCAACTACAGGCGGACGGAACCGATGACGATATCACCAATGCACGGATCGAGAAAGCAAGCCAAGCTTTCATTACTCTCAGGTTTGGGTGGAGATCAACAACACTACTCAGCATGAATATAATAAGATCTGGACTCTCAACTCGTATGTGAAGTTAGTACTACTTGCCATTGGGAACAGAGACTTGGCTTCGTGTCACGAAGTCCACTTCCAACAAACTTAACACCTTCATCAACATCTAAATACTACTGGAGATCGAATGGCTGGCCAGAGAAGATCAGCAATAGTGTGAGGGATCTCTGCCAACCAACCTAGCAGGAACTAATTGCGCTACAAATATTCAGGGAGAAACTGTGGTGAGAAAACAAACCATCAAGTGAGTGACATCACCGCTCGAGTGGAACCCGAATAGGAAGTGGCGAGTGGGTGGTCAGTGCGAGGGAGACTTGGAGTACGAGGTGAAAGCATGAGGGCAGACGTGGAGCTAGGTGAAACGTTGGTGGAAAAGTGAAAGCAATGGAGACGTTCTGCTGAATCACTGTGCTTCTCCAAGAACCAAGTGAAATAATAATGACAATGCCTAGGGTATTCCATTGTTATAGTGTCAAGGCGTCTTCGTTTTCACTCCGAAATTTCATCCGGCTTCTGGGCTTGTAATTATCACATATCTTGTCATTGATCGGTGTTTAATTTAAATATTCCGTAGAATTCCCGTGAAAACCTTATTAATTCATATTATTTGTAGGTTAAATTTAGCATGAAACACAATTAGCACTCACTAAATAAAATAATAATTATACTCACCACCTTATGTATAAAATCAGCACAAGGGTTTAAAATAAGATGAAAGAGACTGCGGCAAAGTTTTCGAAAGAAACATGAGCGGCAAACTAGTTTTAAATTTAGGCTTAGATATTGGTGCTGCATGTTGTAAGTCGATGAGTGAGATGTTGCTAGTTCCCACTCGTTACCATTATTAGTTTAAATCTTCGGTACAGTATGAGTTTCATCAAAGAAGCAAAACATTTCTCCTTGTTGAGTTAGTTTTAATTATGTTTAAACAATTGAAAACAAACAGTATTGGGGTAATGAGGTTTGCAATTTATGAAAGAATAGTTAACTAGCAACCGTCTTTGCCTTTTTTTAGATGTTTTTCCATCATATCGGTGCTCACTAGACCTATCCAATAACCAGCAGTGTTCCCCTCTGAGGTTCTTTCAACTGTTAGGCCTGTGCAACAACAACTACTACAGTAGATAACGCAAAATATAAAAACTGGATTTATTTTAAATTCATAGAACTCACTGATGATGCTATTTGTTAGAAGAACTACTCAACGTTTTGCATAAGAGCCCAGAATTATTAGGAGAAGTGATAAGTGAACACTACTGCACATGCGAAGAAATGTTTGCATTTATATGCGTCTTCCCACAAAATGATTATGCCCTCATATGAAGTGGATTTCTGCTTATTCATTTTGTTTCCTACATTTTCCAGTTGAAAACAGGGCTTCAAGGGTGAGTTTCGAAGTTTCAATAGCAAAGATGTTCCCCTTAAGGTATGAAGTTGCTATTATTATTATTATTGTTCCCTTGGGTTCCTAGTGGAACATAGGGCTTCAACTGCACGTCTCCACTTACTTCTGTCTTCTGCTGTACTTCTCCCATGTATTCATTTTAATCCATACTGTTTCAACTCCTCTTCTCACGAACTTCTCCATTTCACACTTGCACTGACGTCCCAAACGCCGCTTCCATTTCGGCCTGGTTCCACTCGAGCAATGGCCTGATGCGCGCGCAATGTCACCCAGCGGTCTTCTCAGAGAGTGTCCAGTCAATCTCCAGTTTCTCCTGCTTATTTCTTCGGCGATTGGTTCTTACTTTGTCTCTTCCCATAATTCCTTGTTGGTGATTCTTTCCGGCCATCTTCAGTATAGAGCAAAGACAGTTGTTAATGAAGGTCTGCAACAGGTTGTTGGAAATATTCTTTGTGACCCACCCGCCAAGATTCTCATCCGTATAGAACGGCTGACTGACTTGACGTTTGTATTGAAAATTCTACCGAATTTTGTTGTTGATGCTGGCTGAGTGACGAAGATTTCCTGATTGGTTTCAGGTTGATTGATGAATGTGTTTCTCGCCTTCCCGGTTCTCAATATGACATTCTTGTCCGTTCATCCTGTAGTTGAGACAATTCTCCTTAGATAAGTGAATGAAGTAACCTCATTCATTCTTCCCTCTACATGGAGCTTACCACCGCCTAAGCGAGATAGAAGGGTGTGTCGGCCAAGAACCGAACCCTGGACAACTCTCCGGTTGGCCAGTGGATACTGGCTGTTAAAGATTATGATCTCCAGCGTCTTTCAATGACACCTTATCTGTGTAAACTAATTTCGTACAAGCTAGTCTCACTTTGCCGTACTAGTGTGGCTTTGAATAGAATGCTGTGTTGGATCTATGTTGGGATACCATTATCAGTACTTGAAATACTCATTCCATTGACACATAAAAGTTCCTTTTCGATAAAGAAAGGAAGACGAAATTTGCAGTATAAAATGATATCATTCTATTTCACAGGTTCTCATCAGCTGCAGACTACCTGAAATTACAATGGTTATCTAGATGATAATAACATACTTTAATGTTCGAGTGGTAGTAGAGAAGAAATAGTGTACAACTAACGCATCCAAAATGATGAATGCATTACAATTTCTTTTAGTTTAAGTTTTCATCATCAATTTATACGCTTTTAAAGTTGGAAAGAGGGAGGAGGGGTAAGACAGAAAACAGAAAAAATTGATTAACAGAACAGTGTTAACTTGTAGCTTGTTCACATAGCAACTCAAGAAACAAAAAGAAACAAAAACGGTTACAGTTTATGAGATTAAGATTTGTTCAGTGAGTTGAGATCACTGAATTAGATGACTTATTAATGTAACCAAACAGCCTTGATAACTGAATTTTGATTTTGATTACACTAATTAGTCATCTAATTCAGTGATCTCAACTCACTGAACAAATCTCAATCTTACAAACTATAACCGCTTTTGTGTTTTGAGCTGCTATGTGAACAAGCTACAAGCTAACACTGTTCTGTTAATCAATATTTTCTGTTTTCTGTCTTACCCCTCCTCCCTCTTTCCAACTTTAAAAGCGTATAAATTGATGATGAAAACTTAAACTAAAAGAAATTGTAATGCATTCATCATTTTGGATGCGTTAGTTGTACACTATTTCTTCTCTACTACCACTCGAACATTAAAGTATGTTATTATCATCTAGATAACCATTGTAATTTCAGGTAGTCTGCAGCTGATGAGAACCTGTGAAATAGAATGATATCATTTTATACTGCAAATTTCGTCTTCCTTTCTTTATCGAAATTTATCAAGGGAACCAAATGTATGAAAAGTTCCTTTATTCCTTTAAGTTCTTATAAAATCTATAAAAGTTCTAATAAAATCTGAAATGTACAGGTTGAATTCAGTTTACATCCAAAATTTTATATCCTGTGAAAATGCGTCTAATATATGGAAACTTTTCAAAGAAATTACTGGTGGTAAGCAGATGAATAGTATTCCTTATTCCTTTGATGTTTGCACACTGAAAAAGTCCTTCATATATTCTGCCACAAATGCCAAACTTTCTAGTGTTACAAGTGTTAATGAAACCGGCTTCCCTGGTTTCAATACAAATGATGTTCAAAAAAGTCTCCAGTCTCTGAACACTTCTTGTAGCCTGGGCCCAGACGGTTCACCTAGTGTTATTCTTAAAAAATGTGCAGACATCCTGTGTTATCCCCTCATGGACATATTAACTAATCTTTTTCCAGAAATGTAGTGCCAGCCATTTGTAAGGACATCAAAATTGTACCTATCCCTAAGTCGTCTACTGGAGCATGTTTTAAATTTAGGCCTATTGCTATTACGTCTCCCTTTCTAAAAGCTATGGAAAAGGTACTCTTACTTAATCTTCAGCCTTCACTTAAAGCCTTTAACGATCCCAGACAATTCGCTTACAAACACAGTAGAAGTACTTTAGATGCAGTTGTAGTCTTGTACCATAACATTGTCTCCAGCTTAGACAAGGGGGCTAAATTTGTTCGCTGCACCTTGCTAGATTACACATCTGCTTTCGACTCAGTACCTAGGGAGATTTTGTTAAACAAGCTTTCTGAAACTCAAACTGACTGTCAGGTTGTCAAATGGTTGCATTATTATTTCTCAGGAAGAAAGAAGTACACTGTATGTCAGGGAAAGTTATCCACTTCTTTGCTAACTGAGGCTGGTGTCTCTCAAGGCGCTGCCCTTTCTCCTTTTCTATTTTCTTTCTTCTTGCATGATTTGTCTCACTCTGATGAAATGAACTTTGTTAAGTATGCCGATGATCTAACCATTTCAACGTCTGTTAACTCCCAGCTTGACTGTGCTAAGATGAACAGCTTTAG